TCTCTTAAGCCACCACCCGGGCTTCGCCGCCCCGCATGCCCCGCTCCAGACGGCCGCGGGCTGGTGAGGGTGGGGAGGAGGGGGCGCCACTCGTTTCCTCGCTTGGTCTGGGCTCCGGCGGATCTCGTCGCTCTCCTTCCCAAGGAATCCGGATCGCGAGGGGAGGCTTTCAATCGGTCGACGTTTGTATGGAGAGAGAGCGAGAGAGAATAAAAAAAATCTCGGCACCTCCAAACTCCCTGGCGCAAAAACACTCCCAAACAAAAGTTCTGAGAGGCGCCCGCCCGAGCCAACTCCGCCCAGCGCGAGCCCGCCCGCACCGAATCCGACGGGACTTAATTCAGTCCAGCCGGGACTAAGATCCTCCTGGTTGGCGGTGGTGGTGGTGGTTTTAATTAATCGCCTCGTCCCCGGCCGTACTGAATTTCGCGAGGGAGAAGGAAAACTTTTTTCCCCTCAACGTGCGCATCCGAGCCGGCTTTCTCCCCCTCCCCCAAGACTCTTGCCTGTTTTGCTTCCTAACGAGACCCACTGAAGGCTTCTTCGCCGCCGCCTTCAGTGCTATCCGACGGGCTCCTTTCCTAAAGTGGCTGGACCCGCCCGTGTAGCCACTTTTCGGCGTTGTTGTATTCAGCAACCATGTTTTTTATTGTTCTACTCTTCTCTTTCCCCCCCCAATACTCCCACCAAAAAAAGTTTTCCAACCCTCCCACAGAGAGGAGGAGGAGGAGGAGGGGAAATGGGGGACTATTTTTCCCTCCGTCACCCGCACCAAGCAAAAGGGGGGGGAGAGGAGAAGGGGAAACGAGCCTTTTAACCCCCCCCACCGCCAGGCTTCAAAGCTTTTCGTGGGGACGAAGGGAAAAGGAGGGAGAGACACCCTGCTCTGGCCACTGCTAGGATTTGTTCCCCCTCAGAGATCCCTGCAAATGGCGTAGCAGGATTTCTCCAGATCGGCCCCCTTCCCAGAGAAATTGCTCAACTCCTTCAGCCGCCCGCCCCGGAAGAGGCCCAGGGTGAAAGCCTCTCACAGGTCTACTTGGAAGTAAGCCCCTTTGCGGTCAACGGCCCTCACTCCCGAGTAAAAACAATGAAGTCTCGTGGCGCCGAGAAGGCAAGAGTTCAATTGGCAAAAAAGTTTTTTTTGTGAGCTGCGATCCTTTCTTTCCGTACACCTGAGTTCGTTACCCCTTAGAAACTTTCAGATGAGTAATAATTTCCAGGGAGGTAGTTGGACTCGTTTGCTGCTGCCCAGACAACAACATCTTGTGACACACTAAGGTAATAATTGCTGTTTGTCCATTTTACCTCTTAATCCCCTCTCAGGCCATTGAGTACCTCTCCTACTCAGCGCCAAGCAGGGGTGCAAATCAGCTGCCAGCGGTGACAAAACTTTTCAGTCTTTTAAGGTGTCTGATAAGCATGAGCAGGATGGCCCTGAAATGGGCGTTGCAGAGGAAACCCCTTAATTTCCTGCCCCTACAGACAGCTATCTTGTTTAACTTGCTCTCGGTGCCTCTGTATTCACCCTGTTTCCCTGAAAATAAGATCTAACCTCGAAATAAGCCCTAGTATGATTTTTCAGAAGGAAATTTCTGAAGGAAATCAACCCTGAGTGCTCACTGGAAGGACAGATCCTGAAGCTGAGGTTCCAAACTTTTGGCCATCTCATTTTAAGAGAAGACTCCCTGGAAAAGACCCTGATGTTGGGAAGTGTGAGGGCAAGAGGGGAAGGGGACGACAGAGGATGAGATGGATGGACAGTGTCATCAAAGGGACCAACATGACTCTGACCAAACTCCAGGAGGCAGTGGAAGACAGGAGGGCCTGGCATGCTCTGGTCCATGGGGTCATGCAACTTAACGACTAAACAACAACAAGCAGGTGTAGAAATATTGGAAACACTGTAAGGAGTTAGTAACGCAACTGGTGCTACGTTGTTACCGTGTTTCCCCGAAAATAAGACTGATTTTTCAGGATGCTCATAAGTCCTAAGCCCCTGTTAAGTGTAACCCCGCCCTCCACTATTGTGCAGCAACCAGAAGATGATATGACTGTATTTGAATAAATGTAGATTGTTGTACTTGAATAAAATAAAACATCCCCTGAAAATAAGCCCTAATGCATTTTGTCGTGTTTTGTTTTGGAGCAAAAATTAATATAAGACCCTGTCTTATTTTCAGGGAAACACAGTACTTTTCAATGGGCTGTGGAAATTGCCTTGTTGATTTTTAAATTACCGTGGCAGAAGCCTCAGCGAAACAGGGAAAGCTGCTATGATTGTTTTTACAGCCATGTTCGGGCACATAAAGATTAGCTATTGACAAGAGTAGCCTGCTACAACTATCATGGGAAAAAATGGAAAGAATAACATGCAACTGCTTCTCTTGGATGCACATCTTAACATGGTGAGGGGAGTTAAGTGTGTCAAGAAAGATGAGACAAGTGTCTTCGGGAGGCTGACCTTCATTACTAGTCTGGACTTCTAGGAAGGTTGCTCAAGGCAGAAATGTTAAAGCTAAGTCATCAGACTCATAAGATGCATTCCTCTTGTTGAGGAACATCAGTTGCATCAGCAGAAGAAAATGAACAGTTCCAATGGTGATAGGGCAGAGAAACTCTTCAAGGGCAGCTATTTAGAAGGTAATGCTGACAGAGGAAATGGCAATTACAATGTTTGTTCTATGCAGAATAAGGCAATATTAAATCAATGCTGAAACAGTTCAAAAATGAAACAAGATAGTGCTGGAAGAAGAGACTCCCACTCAGCTAGTGAAAAGAGTAAAGGACAACTATGAATAGCACTGACACTACTGAAGGATCTACTATATTAAAGGTGAAAGGATGTTTAGTGGTTGACATGCACACAGGTGAAAGGAAAGCCTTGTGCTGTACAACACGTACAGTAAACTGGAAACCATAAAACAGGAAATGGAACATTTACACATTGCAGTACTTGCTGTGAACAAACCAAAATGGGCAGAAATAGGACATTTTTGGTCAGACAATTGCAAAGCGCTTTACTCTGGATATGGCAAAATAAGAAGAAACGGTGGCTCTAATAATGAAGCAAGGTGCCGCATAGGCAATTAGAGGCTATAAGGCAAGGTATGACTGAACTTAGAAAACTTGTCTATTTAAACACCATCCAAGGCTATGCTTCCACTACAGTTGTTAAAACTAAATGGAAAGCTTTTATATAAGTATCCAGAAGAAAACTGATCACACACCAAAGCAAGAGATGCCCATAACGATAGGGAGCTGGTACGCAAAAATAGGAAACAAATGACAACCAAATATTCTTGGAGAATATTGTTGGACTTCTATCTTGATCTGAATTTTATAGTATTTTTAAATATTTACTTTAGCTAGGGATAATTGCTGTCTTCCTGTGCTAATTATCTGACTTTTGAATAAATATGTTTAGGATTATGCTATAAGAATAATAAGATACCCTTTAAATTATCTTCATCATCTCAGAAAATAATTTTTCTGACACCAGGACTAAATCATGATTTCAGAAATATTACAACTCTTAATATTTAGAAAAATAGAAAACATAGAAAAATATTTAACACTTAAACATGTAGACAGACAATAGGTTTCTCTTTCAAATAATAATTTATTATAATTTTCCATTAACATACAACAGAAAATATTACAGTGGCAGGACATTCAGCAATGGCAAAGTCAAGAAGTATATTCTACAAGCAGTGGTATGGATGTTGAATGTTGAATGTTAATAAAAGAACCATTATAAGTGTGAAAACAGTAATGAACCACATGTAGGTAATATAGATCTCTCTCTTAATATACAATCCTGCCAGCCTTGTACAGAGTTCCTATGTTAATGAAATATAACTGAGAAACCAAGATCAGTTACAGAAGAAAGCCCCACCAAAAGAGTGGTACAAAACATAGACGTGGCGTTTCAAAGGATTCACAATCAAATAAGCAAAATTCTGTTCATGGCTATTAGATGAAGGATAACAAAGGCCATTAGCATCCTAAAAAAAGAAAATGTTTTGTTGTAGTATATTGTAGTAAGAGACAATACTCAGTTGTCAAACCATTATGCTACTTATTTTAGATGGGGTTAACACACTTTGCGGTTTTCAGACATAACACCGAATTATACTGATAAACCATTCCCCTATGCCATCTCCTCCTCCAGCACAACTGGGAGGAGAAAATTGGTCAAATCTGCTTTTCTTTTCAAATATCTGTTGTTGGTCATGTCCAAATTGAGATAAACTGTGGTGAGCATAAACTACAGTTTATTCATAGAGTCAGAGGCTTGAGGTGGATGTTAGAGGTCATCTACCTCAACCTCTGCCTGGTACACTATAGAATCATAGACATATGGGTCAGTTTCCACCCAAACATCTCAAAGCCCATTTCCTAAGACTATCTGCTTCACTATCACAGAGCTCTTGTAATTAGGAAGTTTCTACTAATTTTTAACTAAAACTTGCTTCCCTGAAATTTCCACCCATTGGTTCTAGTTCTACCTCTAAAGCAAGACAGAATACTCTTGTTCTGTATTCATCTAGATACTTAAATTCATTTAAGTAGCTAATGTTTTTAATTATTTCCTTAACTAGCCTGGGAGTTAAATTCCTCTTTATATGATTTGCTCTATTTGCAGGGTGAACACAATTCCCCTTATAACAGATTGAAGCAAATCAGGAATTCTGCCGTCTGCTCACCTGTTAGCACTTCATTGTCTACTCTATGCAAAACTACTCTTTCTTGCTCTTAAAACAGCTCAAATAGTCCTGCCCTCTGCTCACCTGTTAGCACTTCACTGTCTATGCAAAACTACCCTTTCTTGCTCTTAAAACAGCTCAAATAGTCCCTTTTGTTGTTTTTAGCATGCCTCACAAGCTTCATCTCATACTTGGTGTTAGTCTTCCTGACATGATCCTTATCTTAGAGGTTCAAGATACAGTATTCCACTTTGTCCTTTCTTAAGACCTGTATAGACTGGCAGTTTTGGTAAGGGCTGAATTGGACTGCAGAGGGTCCGTTGAGGTTGGGGGGTGGTGATGTGCCATTTGGCACACTTATCCCCTCTGAACAGCATATTGACCTTCGTGCCAATTAAATGCTTACCCTGATCATCTGTGGAGGGTCAGAGGAAGTGAAACTATTTTTTAAAATATGTGCTAGATTGTTGCTAATGTCATTAATCACTTTGATTAAATTTAAAAAAATCTTTCCCTGTCTATGTACTGCTGATTGAGAAACTGCCCCCAGCTGCAGTTTAGACAAGCAAAGAAAAAATAGTTTTTAATTTAGTTGAATTTAGTTGAAGTCTAGTAGATTTAAAAAAATCTAGTAGACTAAAAAAACCCAACTAATTTCACTTCTACTGACCCTCTGTAGATGATCAGGGAAAGTGTTCAGTTTTGTAAGCCATTTCCAGATACTGGAAATTGATGCGGGAAGGAGCAGCAAGGGTCTAGTTTAGTCAATTCAAAGCAACCATACTCACTGGGAATAGACAAAACTGGAGCTCTTTAGCCTACACCAAAATAGTAGAAATAAATGAACTAGTTGAGGCAAATTGACCTGCTCCAACTATGTCCGTGTGTGGATGCTGGAAAAAAGAGTGAACCAGCTCAACCCATCAGTGCACCAAATAACAACAAAAATGCCCATGTGGACAGGCTTGAAGTTACATGCAGCTGGTTTAATCTTTTGTACATTTCCTTCGTAAATCCCAGCTAAGAGAGTTCCTGCTTTAGTGAAATTGTCTTCCCTTGTCTTTACTTACTAGATATTTGTCTTTGCTGTCAGTATTTAATTTCTCAGACTTTCCCATTCCTCTTGGAATTTTTAACCACTGCATCCTATCCAGCTTTTCTGTGAACTTTTTGAAACTGCCATTTCTTAACTTCAGGATACTTGAAAATAATATTTTCACATTCCTTGCTATCAAAACTTTCAAGGTGTCATCATTTTCTGAGGTTCCACTTTCACTTCATCCACTAGTTCTTCCTTGTTGTTTAAGAATAAGTTTAAAAGAACAGATCATCCTGCTACTTCCTGTTCTTTCTCAGAGATAAATTCGTCAGCAAGACAAGAATTTACTTGGCATTCCATTCTTAGTAGAGGAAGTCTTCCAGGAAATGGCAGGATGGCTGAAATACTCCATTACTACTAGACTCTTCATTATAAGTTTAGTAATCTATTTCATGGAAGTATCATCTATGTCTTCCAGTTGGCTGCACAATCTGTAGTACACTGCCACAACACTATTTTTTTGTTTGTTTCTTTTTCTATTCTAATCCAGATGCTTTCAACAGAACTCTCAAATGCATGCATTTTTGTTTAGATGTCTACATTTATAATATATAGTACAACTCCCTACATTCTTTCTTTTGGATTTATTTAATTTTGTATTTATTTATTTATTGAATTTGTATCCCGCACCATCAGGCAACCAGGACACTCTGGACAGCTAACAACAGTATAAACAACAATATTAAAACACAATAAACATAAATAAAATAATACAAGGCAAGTTGGATAATTCTATTCTATAAATTCTATACTTTATAGAAAGTATACCATTCTGTTCCAGTGTCCCAGTCATGAGTTTCATCCCATCAGGTGGGATACTTGTCAGATCATATTTATTTTCCTGTATTAAAATTTCAAGTTTGTCCTGTTTGTTTTCCTTAGTCCACACATTAATATAGTACATAGACTTGGAAGGCCATGGGTGTTGCATTTCACTCTTATATTTACCTGCAAATTAGCAGGTACCATCTCTACTGCCTGACTTCCTAAAATGGCTCAGCAACTAGCTTTTAGCTACTGTCTGTCTTCCTCACCCACAGGATTTAGTTTGAAAGCATGGTTTAGCTTTAAATACTCCTGGCAAACATGTTTTACTAGTCTTTATAAAATACACCACATCTCCTGTCAGAAGTATGGTAGATTCCAGTAGTTAATTATCCTGTCATGTTTCATATGACATTAATCATGGTTTATCATAGTGAAACATAACAAACCAGTTTGGACATAATCACTAAAGTCATTTAGTTGAAACTAAGAGCAGATACAGAGGAAAAGAAGGGAGAGGGGAGCCGAAAGTTTAATCTTACATCCAAGCCATGCCTGTATTGTTTCATGTCTATTATCTGTAAAATATATTGGCTTATTCCCAAATAAAATAGGAAAATAAAGTTGGGAAATGTTCTAGATTCAAGTTTATTAACATTTAAAACTAGAAATTTAAGTGGTGAGAGGCATAACAAGCCCTGTACTAGTATGCAGAAATTCTTATGCACACGGAAGCACCTGAAACACCAGGCAAGAAGGGACTGCCTTGTCTAATTTTATATTACAGTATGTGCAATGACTCAGCCTAAGTAGAGCACATGGAAATGGTGGAACGTCTGGGATGGTCATGCTTGAGTGAAGCACCCTGTCACCACCTGAGAGTCACAAAGTTGTGATTCAGGCTTGCATCCATATCTGTGTAGTGCAATTTACAAGTCAAGTATTAGTCAGCAAATACAACTGAGTTCTCCCTTCTACTTAGGTGTAATCACCATTAAAGGAGCTTTACTGTGGTTTAGTTTTGATATGGAATGCTGACAATTTTATTTTTATATGAATTTCTTCTGGATCAAAATATAACATACGATCCAGAGCCTGAAGAAATGTGTACCTATGGGAATAAATGGGAAAGTCCGGGATTTGTTTTTCTAAAGAAGTAACTTTCCAAAGTCTGGATAAGAACATAAGAAGAACTGATATGTATTACCACAAAGACAATGAATTACAATGGAAACACTGACACTGTGATGAAAATTAACAGTTGCTGTTTTTATTAAAAACAATTATACCACTTACCCGGCTGTGTCTTGTGCACACTTATTTGAATGTAACTCCAATGAGACTTAACTCCATTATAATACATAGGGGACTGCAGTCTTAATATTTAAAATTTACCATATTTTTAGATTGTTATCAAAGATACCATGTCCAATGGTATGAAATAGTAAGTCAGGGTAATACATTTCTCTGTATGTTTGCTGTAAACCTTAATGAGACCTGTTCCTTAGTATGTATGTGTATGATGGCAATTTTAACTGACAAATTTACATATATCCATACATAGTTTTCTTATTTTTCAATACTGGAGCTTTATAGTTAATAGCAATATATAGTGGATAGCAATCAGAAATGGAAAAGGCTTGATTTTGGACTATTATTACCAGAATCCCATATCCCAGTCTATGGGATTCTGGGAGTTGTAGTCCAGTCCCTTCCCAACATTTCCCAAATCTGGAAGCAAGAATTGCAGACAGCCTCCTGAGCAAGTTGGCTAAAGAAGCATAGAAACCATGTAGGCTGCCAAAGAAGGAAAGCTGGAACAGAACTCTTTGTCCCTGCCTTGCAAGTCAGAAGCAGGTTAGTAACTATTGGTTTTTGTTATTTATTTATTTATTTATTTACAATATTTGTTAGCCACGCCATTACCAATGGTCTCTGAGTGGCTGGTGAGGGGAGTTATTTATTTATTTACTTTTTGCAGCTGTGTAACTTTTATGGATCTATTGTGGAAAAGAAGATAATTTTCAAGACCTAGGCAGGGCTGTTAATGCCAGGACTTTCTGGAAGTAATTAATTCATAGGGAAGCAACTCAACAACATGTAACAGCAACAAGCCTTGTGGCCTTATTTACCATTTCAACATGGCTTACATGACTAAGAACTTTAAATGCCAGAAACCCTGAGCTATGCTTAGTCCAGGCTTTCTATTGTGCATTGTTAATGCAAATACTCAGAAAAATGGGCTCAAGCCTTTTTCTATGTAATTGTATATAAATTACCCTTTCCCCACCTAACTACAGCAGGAGCATGCTACACTGTGCTACACTATGATGATTATTAACATGATATACTGTAATCATATAAGAAACTGAATTTATTAAAGGTTTTATTCTCCTTAAACTTTTTAATGTTGAGGTGTATTTTTAAAACACTGGCTGAAATCCTGTTGCTTTATAATACAAAACAGTGCAAAATTCAGTTTTTCTTAACCTGCAATTAAGAAGTAACCGCTAGGATTCTTGGGCTTGATAGTGTGGACTGGCTTGCTACCATCCCCAAAAATCTGAAAAAACACTTGAAAATTGCAGCAGAGACTAATTGTTGGCTAGGAATGACTGAATTTTTTTGCTTTTTGTGTAACAAAGCAGCAGGTTTTCAGTCATTCATTAATATTATTGCTGTTTTCATTCTAATCAAGTGAAACAGCTGAATTTATCAAAATAAATGCAAGCTTTCAAGTTTCATAAAGATCTTTTAACATCTAATTGTGGTCAAAAGAATAATCTAAACAGACAGATAGTCCTTGCAATGTTGATCCTAACTATGGGCTATACTAGCAAACCTGTATCTCTTTCAAATTCATGATGTAATTTTCCCAGATTATTTGGGATGCAATTACAGTACTACATATTTACAAGTCTCTTCCTTCCTAAACATCTCAGTAGGTAAGTATTCTGTGTAAATGAAATTATTTTGTTTTATCAGTCTTGTTAGCTTCTCTGGACCTTTCAGGGGGACAGTATAAAGTCTTTCATTTTATTTCAAAATTATATCTGTCAATACTTCTAGGGCTGCATGCTTAGGACTCCTACTCTAATGTGATACTTACATATGCACAGACTTTAAAAACAGTCGATATTATATTTATCTCCTTAGTTTCAGGATCCTTTTGAACACTGAAATTCATTAAAAAAAAGTGTTAATGAAAATGGACTAGCTAAAACACACATTTTACAATTTAAGGTAGCTATCCAAGAACTGAAAGGAACATCACTAAGAAGACTAGCAACTATAAAGATATTAGAAGGCAAGTACAGATGAAATCTCCAGGAACAAAGGAACACTAGAAGGGCTATTCCACATGAAGCATTTCTTCAAAAAGTATTGCACTGATTTTACTGATATTTCCCCCCCTTCATCTGCAAAAACAAATAAAATAAGTAAAACTTGGCTCAGTTTGTTCAGTGTTGCTTTTTATATACTGTGCTCTTAAAATTCTTAAACTTTTTTTAAAGTTTTGTAGAGTTCACGCAGCAAGAGTTTAGCACTAATGACCAATAAACAAACACAGTGAAAAAATCTAGCAGAGAAGTTCATTTATAAAAGGTTTCCTCAAAATATTTTAAAGAGTTGTTTTTAAAGATCTCTGATTTCAGAAGGGGATTAGTGGTATAATTCAATACTGAACGGTACAGCCAGGAATGTTTAATTTTAGCACAAATTGATCACTAGACCAAATAAGTATTCAGCACAGAATATTATTTTCAAAGTGCTATTTCTAGAGCTGCCATTCTCAATCTTTATTTGGCCATGGCCATAAACACAATATGAAAGAAACAGGCCAAATCAAGATTGTGTAAGTCACATAACAAACCTTATAAGGTGGTGTGTGGAGTATTGTTTCCAGTGTGTGGCCCTCTTCAAATGTGGTATGGCCTCTTTTGAGAATGGTGGTTCTAGAGTATTTAAAGGCAGCTGATTTCTAAATTGAATTAGCAGTGGACATCCACTAGGTAAACCTACAGTCAGAAGCTGTTAAGTTGTGTATATTTTACCTTTTTTTTTGTAGTGTTGTCCAGTTTTACCTTGGGGAAGAGCACCTCATTTCGTTGCACCCACTTGTGAGCGCAATACAGTCAGAAGCTGTTAATTTTAGTGCCAATCCACCCCTGAAACAAATCTAGCAGAGTAGAGAAGCACCTTTTCAAGTTTTTTGAAACATTTTTGGTCAATTTCTTAACAAGATCCAGATTTCCATAAAGAGAACAGAAGCAAAGGTTTACAGATATGTTTGGACAGATATCCTGATCAGTGTTAAGGTAATTTGGTACCAAATCACATAAAGGGAGAGGAACAAATGCTCTATTAAATTTATCTATTTAATTTCCTATAGACAAAGCTGTTCCTTACATAAATGATGGGATTAGGAGAGTCTAGGTATTTAGGATAGTACTGTGAGAGTGCTTCATGTCCAACCCTACTTAGTTTTGTTTAGATAATAAGGTGAAGCTACAACATGTCTAGGATATCTTCATCACATCAACAGAGAAGCTATTAATCATTTCATTATTTCCAGTATAACCAGTTGGACAGAAAATGACAGCTGAGCTACTGTACTAGCTGTGGCCTTTCCTGGACATGGATGGCTTGGGCATAGTTACCCATGCCCTCCTAACATTCTTCCCAGAGTACTAAAATGCATTATATACAGGGCTGCTCTTGAATTCAGTTCAGAAGCTACAGTTAGTATTTTAAAAAAACACATAACTTATTAAATAGTATGAAGTCTGTAGATTATCACCAGTCTTGGATAAAGTACATTCATTGTCATGTAAAAGTCAAGGACCCGGTATTGTCCAAAGCTGTATAGAACTTTAAAGATTCATAATTTCCTCCTTATATCTGAACCTGTCTGATAATTAACATACATCTTGTGGGGTTCCCTTGCTTTAAGAAGTAAAGCTTGCTGTAACCCACACTAAGGCCTTTTCTGCTCTGGTATCTTGCCTTTGGAATGCTCTCACCAGACTTAAATGAGTGCATAATATTTTTATAATAAACAAATGTACCTCACTAGATCTTTATACAAAGCTTTTGTTGTTTCTAAGTAAGGACCCAGGTCATCTTCATATTGACAGAGAGCTCCACCAAGGCAAAGATGCTTAAAAACACAGAAGATAAACTCTTCACGGTCTGTATGGCTGTATAAGTTGTAATGGTCCGAATCTTCCAAAAGAAGTACCTTTTATGAGAAAAGGAGGGAAAATAATGTTATATTGGAAATGTTTCCAAAGGAATTAAATATCTGTTAAGTCTAAACACAGATTAACTTCAATTATTTCTGTTTATATAGGCTGAAATCATGTTGCTTAGCATTGTAAGACAATTAGAGTAGGCGACTGAATCAGTGAGGATTCAAATGAGCTACTTAGTTTGCAGAAACAAAAGGATTTGATACATCAATGGTATCGGCAATAAAAATGAGAGACTAAGTCTCGGGATGTAGAAAACTGTAAATAGTCTTTATTCTGGTTTTTAAATGCTGAGTTCAGGACCATCAGAGTGCTGGTTTTAACCTCTAAAGCCCTTAACGGTTTGGGACCTTGTTATCTGACAGAGCGTCTCTCCCTAAGATTGTCCACCCAGGTCAGCCAGATGTTGTGTTTGCAGGTGTTCCCCCCCACAAGACAGGCTCAGAAAACTACTACCAGGAACTGGGCCTTCTTGATGGTAGCCACAACGCTATGGAATGTGTTGCCCACAGATACACGCCAGGCCCCCTCCCTCTTGTCCTTCCAAAAACAGGTTAAAACTACCGTATTTGCCAGCGTACAAGATGACTTTTGGCCCTGAAAAACATGCCTCCAAGTGGGGGGAGTTGTCTTATACGCCGGGTACACTTCCAGTAAACCCTCCCTCTCTCCCAGCGAAGTCACTTACCTGGTAGTACAACCGAGTAGACCAAGCTCCTCCTTGGTAGCCTGGGAACAGCCTGACTCTAGCGCCGAACAGCTGACTGTTGGGAACCAGCAGAGAGGCGGCAGCCATTTTGAGATGCAACCACATGGCTGCCGCCTCTCCAAAATGGCTGCCGCCTCCGAAAAGGAACCAAAAGGGGCAAAAGGAACTCTCCCCATGATGCAGCCAAAGCAGAATCACGCATTCTTTTGTTACAATCAAATGGCTGCATCTAACCATATCCATATTATTTACCAGATGGGTTGTGAATGTGTTCAGTATATGTCCCTTTACTACTGAAATCCTGTTGCTTAATGTAGCAGTGCCCCCATAGCCTTACAGAGAGATCTGACATCAAATTGCCCTTGACTCAGCTGCTTGTTGCTAATAAGTGCATACTGCTGTTCCTGTAACCATGTAGATTTTGGAGCTGGTACAGACCAAATACATTAGTTTCAATTTTAAAATCTTGGTATGTATCATGCAAGATGTTTTAGATTCATATTGGCAGACTAGTACAGTGGTGCCTCGCAAGACGATGTATTAGACGGTGATTAGGTCCTTGCCTCGCGAGACAGGTTTTTTTTCAAACCCTGTTTCGCAAGACAGTCCATCCCCCCATTGGAACACATTAATTACATAAGACCTACTTTTTTATCCCAAAAAATATATGTTGCTGAGATGAAAATGTATGTTGCTGGCTTTTCAGGGTCTGCCTCCTGGAAAAACACCAGCATATACTTTCTCCCCCACTTTTTTGGGATTAAAAAGTAGGTCTTATGTAATTAATTTGTTCCAATTGGGGGGAAGGAACCATCTTGCAAAGCATTGTCAATGGGGCTATGGTTGCAAATTTAAATGATAGAGAGTGGTGAAAATAGCCAAAAACCAAAGGATAAAGACATTGTAAAAAAACAGGGAAATCAGAAATGTAATCCCCTCATTAATATAAATTATACACCTCCCACCTCCATTTAGGGAAATCACAGGGATCAACAGCACACCCAAAGTGCAATGGATGAGCCTCCCCCTGGGAAAACCATTTTTATGACATGGTATTTCCCCTGCAAGGTATAAGTTAGAATGGACCTTGAATCTCCTACCCCATTCTGTCCCCTAATGCCCCCAAGTCATAGTGACCCCCTGGCTGCACCTCCCACTCAGTACAGGGCTGCACAGCGCCAGTCCTGCCAGGACTGTGCACTAGAGGATTGTGGGAGGAACACTTAGCCCCTGATGGGGGTCCCGCAGGGCATCCCAAAACACTGAGGAGCTCTCTTGGCCTCTGGCAGGACTGGGGCTGTGCAGCCCTGTACTGAGTGGGAGGGGCAGCCAGGGGGTCACTATGACTTGGGGGCGTTAGGGGACAGAATGGGGTAGGAGATTCAAGGTCCATTCTAACTTATACCTTGCAGGGGAAATACCATGTCATAAAAATGGTTTTCCCAGGGGGAGGCTCATCCATTGCACTTTGGGTGTGCTGTTGATCCCTGTGATTTCCCTAAATGGAGGTGGGAGGTGTATAATTTATATTAATGAGGGGATTACATTTCTGATTTCCCTGTTTTTTTACAATGTCTTTATCCTTTGGTTTTTGGCTATTTTCACCACTCTCTATCATTTAAATTTGCAACCATAGCCCCATTGACAATGCTTTGCAAGATGGTTCCTTCCCCCCAATTGGAACAAATTAATTACATAAGACCTACTTTTTAATCCCAAAAAAGTGGGGGAGAAAGTATATGCTGGTGTTTTTCCAGGAGGCAGACCCTGAAAAGCCAGCAACATACATTTTCATCTCAGCAACATATATTTTTTGGGATAAAAAAGTAGGTCTTATGTAATTAATGTGTTCCAATGGGGGGATGGACTGTCTTGCGAAACAGGGTTTGAAAAAAAACCTGTCTCGCGAGGCAAGGACCTAATCACCGTCTAATACATCGTCTTGCGAGGCACCACTGTACTAGTCTGCCAATATGAATCTAAAACATCTTGCATGATACATACCAAGATTTTAAAATTGAAACTAATGTATTTGGTCTGTACCAGCTCCAAAATCTACATGGTTACAGGAACAGCAGTATGCACTTATTAGCAACAAGCAGCTGAGTCAAGGGCAATTTGATGTCAGATCTCTCTGTAAGGCTATGGGGGCACTGCTACATTAAGCAACAGGATTTCAGTAGTAAAGGGACATATACTGAAACACATTCACAACACATCTGGTAAATAATATGGATATGGTTAGATGCAGCCATTTGATTGTAACAAAAGAAAGATGCAAGACATGTACTGTATATACTCGAGTATAAACCTAGTTTTTCAGCACAACCTTTTGCTGAAAAAGCATCCCCTGGCTTATACTTGAGTCAGTGTCAAAATTACGTGTTCTCCCCTCCAGTGCGGGTGTTCTCCAGACTACCCCGCTCATCTACGGGTGCCTGCAGCTTCTGTGGGTGGTCCGATGATCCCGGTTAAGTACACTGCATTTCTGCTTCCAGGACACTTCCATCCTCCTTCTTCAGGATATACTATGTACCCACCTTCCTCCTCCCACCTCCATCTCCCTCCATCTTGTTACGTACCAATAGAGCAGTAGATAAGCGCAGCATCCTGTATGAGTCCTCCCTCCGCAGGAAGTGAAGTGTGTCTCACAGCTCAGAAGGGCAGTATCTTCGAAAACATTTATCCTACTGATGCCTCAATTGATATCTTATTGATATCTATTTTTATTTTTGAAATTTACCAGTAGCTGCTGCATTTTCCACCCTTGGCTTATACTCGAGTCAATAAGTTTTCCCAGTTTTTTGTGGTAAAATTGGGTGCCTTGGCTTTTATTCGGGTTGGCTTATATTCGAGTATATACTGTACATTAGTGTGGCCATATTTGGAGCTGGGGGGGTAGAGCTGATGAATATCTCAGTTTCCTTTTTAAAAAGGTATAGGTATAAAACTTCTTGCTTCAAACATTCCCCCCCCCCAAGCAATAATCATTGGCATCAGTATAATATTCTGCTACAAACTAAAACATTTCAGTTTAAGAAGCAACAGGTTAAAACTTTGTATAATCAATATATGATGTATCCTAAGATTTATCTTATCCTAAATAACATAAAAAGAGATAAGATAAAGTAAATCTTAATTCCATTAATATGAACAGAGGTTTTTCCCATGACTCCAATTGCAAACATTTAAAATGATTTAATTTTTATTTTATTGTTCATTATTTCTGTAATTGCTTCAAGGCTCATTTGTATACCTACGACACCATCCTTATTTAACTTAGTGCCCTCTAGATGTATTTTTCTTATGCCTCTTATAATCCCTCATCTGTATGGCTGATGAATATAGGAGCTTCCCCCCCGCCAGCACATTTGGAACATACCTGACTGAGGAAACCTCTACTATAGTATTTCAATGGCAGACAAGAAAGATAAAGAAAAGCAACTCTGTAAAGGGTACCAGAAAGATAGGATATGCATTTAATATATAATTACATTTATTTGTGATGTTTTTGTGCAGAAAGAATGTTACATCTGCAATTTTGCAGATGGAAAAAACGTTATTTGTAGAGCAACCTCCTCCTAATGACCTATAACTGAACTGTATTTTGGTTCATTTCCCTTTTCTCTGCAGTTGGGAATAACTACATGTGCTTAGAGAAAAGCAGTGGAAAATATAAATAGATGACAGAAATTACTAGGAAAATTGAGTATGAACACTGGCAAGAGATTAAAAAACCCAAATCCACACCCCATACTGACCTTTCTTAATTCATCTGCAATGAGAATGTCATTATGGTATTCATCAAAACACTTTACAATATTTCCATTTTCTCGAACAACTCCTTCAGAGTATAATCGATCAAAAAATGACATAGAAACTTGAGTACACAGAACATTCTTGGCTTCAACTTTTCTCACATTAGTATCTTGAAAATGAAGAAAAAATCAAAATGAAAGAAGTGCATGGTACTTTTCACTTAGGACTCTGCAGAATTGTATTTTCACTAGCTGAATGAAGTGAGATAATACTGAACGTTTCTGTTCACAGAATTTAATTATAGAAATAACAAGCATTAATTGCTTGTAAACATTTTACACAGCTCTGTAAATCTAAATATCTAGACAAGTGCTCCCCAACCTTTTTGACACCGTGGGTGGACAGGGTCCATGCGTGTGGGGTGGGGCACTCCCAGTACTTGCGCGCATGTGCAAAAGGGTGGTGCTTGCTTGTGCGTACTTGCGCAAATGTGCAAAGGGGTAGGGGCACTCGTGCGGCACACACGCATGCACAAAGGGGCAGGGGTGCTCGTGCGCTGCACACACACACTTGCGCACATGTGCGAAGGGGGCGGAGGCGCTCATGTGGTGCGCACATATGCATGTGCGTGAAGGGGCTGTGCGGGGGGAGTGCGTGTGGGGGTGTGGAAGATCTGTGTTAGGGACCCCTGATCTAGAACCTTTAGAACCCTTAGGTATACCCTTAGAATTTGTTAAGGATAATATTTTGGGCTCTGTAATTTACTCTGCCATTAAGAACAAAATACCATTTATTTCAGTTGTGCCACAGATACATACTAATAGTAGCTGCAGGAGAAAAGAACTACCCCGCTGAAATAAGACTCAAAAAAGCTTACCCTAAATATCCCTTATTTACCTAATGTGGTCCACTCTCCAGAAGCTGACAATAATTTCAAATTGCTGTTAACCTCTGGGTGATTGAAAAATGCCTAGAAGCACAGAAACAATTTGTTAGTAAAACAAATTATGTTAATAGAATTTTATACAGAATTTGCATGGATGGGCAATATAATGGGTTGGCAATGTAAAAATCCAATAAACAAAGCTGTGAGGTGGAATTGTGCTTCCCCTCAAAAGATATTTGTCATTAATAATGTCAGTTTAAAGAGCATATTTATTCTATCTACTTAAGAAGGTTTAAAACAAATTATATTTAACTTTTGAAAATTCAGAAAGCAAAAGCAAAAAAAAAATGAACCAGAAATAAAAACTGTTTTAGCTTTCAAAAGCTTTCCTAAATAATTAGCTCATCCTAAAAGTAGGAGAAATTTTTGCAGACTTTCTGTGGAGGTAATTCCACAATAAAATTATCACTATTAGAAGTATGTTCCACTGATTTTATCTTTTGGGTCAATGGAACTTGGAGCAGACCATCACCACTTGATCACACAAGCTGGCAAAGGAGTGGTTCATTTTGGCACCTTACTGTTCCACAACAGGTGTGGGCAGCTTTTGTAAGTCCAGGAGTTAATTTTACCTCATGGGTAGCGGCAGTGGTCTAAAAACACAGCCACAACCAGTGTGGAAAAACCTTTATTTTTTTCTGGTTACCATGATTTGTCAACAAATTTGAGTGGCAGTTCCTTGGAGCCACAGACCGTCTGCCCTCTTGCCCACTCCTGTTCTACAGGGTCTCTGTGTTTCTGGATTCTAGGATTCAGGGTAGTCCCTGTTTCCCAGATAAATGATTCCAGAAGACAGCAGACAATTTGGCTGAAATCTTGCTGAATGCAATACTAACTCGGTATTTTGTTCAGATTTGTGAAAATATGATTTGTACTGATTTCCTCATTTTAAAAAGTAACCATTAAAAAACCTTCTTTATATTAACTCAGCATCAAACTGGGTGAGCCATCTATGTGTCTGTCCTGTTCACAAATAAAACAACTTCTATCCTACTTATTTTGTAGGCTCCACAACTTTAAGACTTTCGGTCAGCCTTTCATTTCAAGAGTTAGTAGAGAGAAAATGGCTTTTTAAAACTTGATGTTGATCAAATGTGCTGAGACACAACATGCACCATCTTCATCCAGTACTGTACAGGCAATGGCCAAACTGTACTGGCTTAGGACTCTTTAACAGGTCTGTATGGCACCAGATTCGATAAGTCTGAAACAAAGTTGCTTATTGTAAGGGGTGGTGATAGGTGCTTTTATGTGTGTAAACGGCCCAGAATAGTAACACACCAATAGATGGACATTATAAAAATCCAGTAAAGAAAGAAAGTTGTGAGGTGGAAAAAGAGTCAGGATTCATACTTTTCACTTCCACATGCTGCTTTTTACATAAAGACTACACATTTATCATTGCACATATATGGAAAAAAACTTCATGACTTTCCATCATGACCCTTAGTGGAAGATGAACCTGTTTAACTGGATCCTTGAGAGTGTTCTAGAACAAGAATTGTGAATATCTAGCCTTCCAAACTTCCAAAGAATAGCAAGGAGAAACAAGAGGGCCTTCTTAAATGAACAATGCAAAGAAATAGAGGAAAATAATCGAAAGGGAAAAACCAGAGGTATGTTCAAGAAAATTGGAGATATTAAAGGAACATTTTGTGCAAAGATAGACATGATAAGGGACAAAAATGGGAGGGACCTTAGAAAAGCAGAAAAGATCAAGAAGAGGTGGCAAGAATACACAGAGAATTGTATATCAGAAAGATTTGGATGTCCTGGAAAACCCAGGTAGTGTGGTTGCTGACCTTGAGCCAGACATCCTGGAGAGTGAAGTCAAGTGGGCCTTAGAAAGCATGACTAACAACAAGACCAGTGGAGGTGATGGAATACCAGTGGAACTATTTAAAATCTTAAAAGATGATGCTGTTAAGGTACTACACTTAGTATGCCAGCAAGTTTGGAAAACTCGACAGTGGCCAGAGGATTGGAAAATATCAGTCTACATCCCAATCCCAAAGAAGGACAGTGCCAAAGAATGCTCCAGCTACCATACAATTGCCACGTTAGCGAGGTTATGCTCAAAATCCTCCAAGGCAGGCTTCAGTAGTATGTGGATCGAGAACTCCCAGCAGTACAAGCAGGATTTCGAAGGGGCAGAGGAACTAGACACCAACTTGCTAATATGTGCTGGATAATGGAGAAAGCCAGAGAGTTCCAGAAAAACATCTACTTCTGCTTCATTGACTATGCAAAAGCCTTTGACTGTGTGGACCACAGCAAACTATGGCAAGTCCTTAAAGAAACTGGAGTGCCTGACCACCTTATCCATCTCCTGAGAAACCTATACGTGGGACAGGAAGCAACAGAACTGGATACGAAAACACTGATTGGTTCAAAATTGGGAAAGGAGTATGACAAGGCTGTATATTGTCCCCCTGCTTATTTAACTTATATGCAGAATACATCATGCGAAAGGCCAGACTGGAGGAATCCCAATCTGGAATTAAGATTTCCGGAAGAAATATCAGCAACCTCAGATATGCAGATGATACCATTCTGATGGCAGAAAGTGAGGAGGAATTAAAGAACCTTGTAATGAGAGTGAAAGAGGAGAGTGCAGAAAACGGTCTGAAGCTGAACATAAAAAAAACCCCAAGATCATGGCCACTGGTGCCGTCTCCTCTTGGCAAATAGGAGGGGAAGATATGGAAGCAGTGACAGATTTTACTTTCTTGGGCTCCATGATCACTGTAGATGGTGACAGCAGCCACAAAATTAAAAGACAACTGCTTCTTGGGAGGAAAGCAATGACAAACCTGGACAGCATCTTAAAAAGCAGAGACATCATCTCGCCGACAAAAGTACACATAGTCACAGCTATGTTTTTTCCAGTAGTGATGTATGGAAGTGAGCGCTGGACCATAAAGAAAGCTGACCGCCGAAGAATTGTTGTTTTGAAATGTGGTGCAGGAGGAGGCTCTTGAGAGTCCCCTGGATTGCAAGGAGAACAAACCTATCAATTCTAAAGGAAATCAACCCTGAGTGCTCACTGGAAGGACAGATCCTGAAACTGAGGCTCCAATACTTTGGCCATCTCATGAGAAGAGAAGACTCCCTGGAAAAGACCGTGATGTTAGGAAAGTGTGAAGGCAAGAGGAGAAGGGGATGACAGAGGACGAGATGGATGGACAGTGTAATTGAAGCTACCAACACAAATCTGACCGAACTCCGTGAGGCAATGGAAGACAGGAGGGCCTGGCGTGCTCTGATCCATGGTGTCACAAAGAGTCGGACACGACTAAACAACAACAAGCCTTCCAGATGTTAGACTATAAATCCTATCAGTTCTAACTAGCACAGCCAATGTAGACGGATGATAGCACTGACAGCCCAACATCTGGAAAACTATGTGTACTTATTACCTGATCCTATACCCATTGTTTTCAGTAGACCTGATTCAGTGCAGCATGTCTAAGTGTGGCTAAGGTTTCAATTTTTAATAGTGGAACTTATATCAGAGCAGACATATAAAATGATCACCCTCTAAATTTATTAACTTGCTCCCAGGTATGTATACAAAGGACTTCAGCTGCATCATATTATCAATCTATATGTAAATCACTTATTGTCAACACATGTGTTATTTAATTTGAAACATGATTCACACAGAGATAAATAACACTTTTATACAGAAACTAGGTTGCATGTAAAATTATACATTGTTTTTCAGTCTTCTGCTTCTAGCCTTTAATTTATGTTTAAACAATATTTTTGTTTCATTAATAGTAATAACACAATTTAGAAATATTAATTTGGGACTGAAACATGCCGTGAAGTAGTTATTGAATTGTGGATAATTACCATAAGAAAATCATCCCGTTGATAGCCTTTGAAGTTCTGATCAAAGCTGAATATTTGTACTGTGATTCTCCCATCCATAGACCTATAGAATACAGAAAGAAGTCAATGTCAGGACATAAAGTCCAATAAGGTGTGTACTGTAACACCTGAAGGTCCTGGCGGGAAAGTGGTCAGATATAAAACAAAAAAGAAGTAGAAAACTAATGTTGCAAGAAACATTCTCTTTAACTCTTACTCCACAAGTGGCAACTTTTGCACTGAACAGATTGAGGGATTTCCAGTTTTGATGTTTTCTATCTAATTGGCATTTTTGCCTATTTCCAGGCCTGGTGTAGATTTTGATGAAGGATGTGGTCCCCAAGCCCAAAAAAGTTACCCAGCCTATCCTAATATATCCAGGTTTTGATTATTTGTGTTTAATTCTAGGAGGAGTTTCTACTCACTGTCTTCCAAGAGATACAGTGTACTTTGAAGTCTCATTCTGCAATGTAGGTTTACCAGGCTAAAATGTTATAATACATTAACATTTTTGGAGCTGTTCATACTTAATATTTTTCTAATGATGACAAAGGAAGTAAATAATTATTATTGTACTCTGCAACCAAAGGAGAACCCACACATACATACTATACTCTTCACTTGCGGCACAAACCTATCCAAATCCCAGTGTATACAAGGGACTCTTTTCTCATGAGAATGTTCAGCATTGCAAACTCAGTTTTAATTAATTTGCACATTTACCATTCTGCACATTTTTCTCATTTACATTGGTTTTAAGAGGGGTATGATGAGGCACATGTGGTTGCTTTGCACTGAAAGCCCTGGGAAGAAATAAATAACCAGGTGTAGATGGGATACTGACAGAATATTCCAAGCCACAGATATTGTATGTTTCAAAATCCTAACAATAATAAGCCAACAAATATTGAAAACAAAATAATGACCCTCGGATTGGGAACATTCAATATACATTCAATCCCCAAGAAAAAGATGCGAAGAAGTAACTATAGGACTATTGCTCTCATTTCCCATGAAAGCAAAGTGATGGCCAAGGTATTGCTCAAAGTGTTGCATTTTTACCTTATATGGAGTGAGAAATGCCTGATGTTCAAGATGGATTCTGAAAACGAAGGAACACTTGAGATTTTATTGCAAATATCTATTGACTACTAGAATGCAAGAAAGAATTTAAGAAGATCAGTGTATGCTTTATAGACTATAGCAAAGGTTTTGACTGGGTGGATCATGAGAAACTATACATTGTTCTGAAAGAAATGTGTGTGCCTCTGGCCTTGATTGTCTTAATTCAAAACCTGTACTGTGGACAGGAAGCTACCATTAGGACAAAATATAGATAGCATGGTTTCCTATAGGCAAAGATGTTAGACAAGAGTGCATTTTATCCCCTTACTAGTTCAGTCTGTATACAGAAAAGTCACACTAGACTCAGATGGAGGACTGAAAATTTGTGGAAGAAACATCAATGATTTAAGATATAAGGTGACAACATCTTAATGTTAGAAAGAGGCAATGACTTTAAATGACTTCTGATGAAAGTAAAAGAAGACTGCCAGAGCAGGACTGCTGTTGAACGTTAAGAAGACAACAAATCATGACTGCAGAATAACTTACACAATGTCAATGCTGATAATGGAGAAATTGAAATAGCTAAAGATATTTTATACCTCAGTTCCATCACCAATCCAGATGGAGACAGCAGCCAAGAAATCAGAGGACTGTGACTTGGAAGAGAAGCAATGCAGGAATTAGAAAAAAAATGTAAGGATGTGTCACGGGAGACCAATTCCAAGATCACCCACATTCTTGTAGTATTTCCAATCAGTACATACAGATGTGAAAGCTGGACAGTAAAGTAAACTGACAAGAAAAAATTGATACATTTGAAATATGGTGCTGGAGGAGAACTTTGTAGATACCCTGGACTGTCAGAAAGATGAAGAAATGGGTCCCAGAGCAAATTAAGCTTGAATTCTCTCTGAAGGCAAAAATTATGCAGCTATGGCTTTCATACTTTGGCACAACATGAGAAGACTAGATTTGCTGGATATGACAATAATGCTAGGAATGGTGGAAGACAGCAGGAAAAGAGGAAGATCAAGTGGATTGCCTCCCTAAATTCCAGAGGCTTGAGTTTAGAAGAACTGAGCAGGGCTGTTGAAGACAGGTCATTTTGGAAATCTCTCATTCGTAGGGTCACCCTGAGTCTGAGGCAGTTTGAAGGCACGTAACAGCAAAAACACAAACATTGTGAATAGAGTTATGCAGATGTTTTTAGACTACAGCTCCCGGAGTTCCCCAGGAAGCTATGGCAGACATCTCTGTGTAAATAATTACTTTCCAACAAAAAGGACAGACTTTTTACGTATAACAGGTGTATAAGGCCTTCCATGTCCACCTGTTGAAATTCTCTCCTACACAATGACTGAAGTTGCAAGTATCCCATACTCTTTCACATATGGCCATTTATACTACAGTATTCAAGAAGCACACACATTGATTTAATCTGCGTACTCTTCGCATAATAAGCATATGCATTCTACAGACAAACCATTTCCAGCATCTGAACATGTTTTTAAGAATGCCATTCATATTCCAAACGCGTAATCACAATATTTATGAGGAAGTTCTTTGACCTGAAATCTCTCCGCTAGGGACGCAGCCCAGCCTCCCAAATGTTTCTAAACCTTTTCCCCCTGTACAAATATATGCACAGTATACGAGCAGTTAAAGCCCGCTCTCCAAAGATTTGCTTCCATCTTCCTCAACAGGTCTCCCTATTGAAAGAGTTTCTACTTCTCTCCCCGCCCTCCGACTGAGAAAACATCCTAGAAACCGCCGAAGGGAACGACCGCCTCTTCCCCACCATTTGAGGAGTCGTTCTCGGATATCTCTGTTCTCCAGGGCAGGGAAGCTTTTCTGAGGGAGATGATGGAAAATGTAGCGCGGTTCCATGTTTTGGTCTCCGGAGGCAGACATGGCCGCTTCTTCAGGAGAAGACGCACCTTTGGTTGCCGTGGAAACGCACTCCCGCTTGCGGTTTGCAACTATTTGGTGTTCCTCGTTTTCGCTCCCCCTGGAAACAACTAACCCGTTTCTTATGGTTCCGTTTTCTCGGTGTGTCCCCCCCGCTACACGTAACGAATCAACGACCACAACATAGAGTAGAAGAAAGTGTAGTACAGTAACTGTGAGCGTTCACCTGGGACTAGATCCCATTCGTAATAACGGGATTTTTTAATCTGAGACTAAGTATATGCATGAATGCCGTTGGTTGGTTGATTTAGACGCTGATCTTTAGGAAATGTTCACACCTCATCTCCCTTTAGGAACAGGAAAATGCCCACAGCATTTAGAAACAATGAAATAAAATACATGTAGCAAAGATGGCATAGATGCAAGGACAGTATAAAACCAAATCAGCATGTGCAGAGTGAAAGCTAATAATAAAGGGCTGCTACTCTGTGCTATCAATGTAAACATATTCATCTATCTTTGTAAGGTTTTAATTAATTATTCTGTTTTATATATGTTTATGTTTATTATCTGTTTACTGCTAGCCGCCTAGAGTAGTCCTGAGTTGACTAGATAGGCCGGATATAAATAAATAAATACATAAATACATAAATACATAAATAAAATCTTCTTTCAGTGTCCTCTCCTCATTGTTTCAAGCTGCTTTCTCCTTACCTCTCTCCAAGGTTGCTAGGTAAAGGTAAAGTTTCCCCTTGACAATTTTTGTCCAGTTGTGTTCGACTCTAGGGGGCGGTCTTAAACTCTAACCTAGTTTTGGTCATGTCAAATCAGTCACCACTATGAATTTATTCCTAGTGGCACCCACAAAACCAACCAAACTCATCACTCTTGTTCAGAACCTGTTTAGCCTCAGACTTAAAGTGAATTCTGTTGGCTTATTTGTATATACTCCATTTAGCTGTGTCATAATTGTGTGACTTACACAATCCCATCCCATCCTCCTTCAAAAGCATGGGTAACAGAATTTTAATATGGCTGATTTTCTTGGCAGAGTATAAAAATTTATGGCTACAAACACTTCTAAATACACAACGGACCTACAGAGCCAAATTAGCATCAAATCCCCCCACAGTAGATCATTTCTTGTTTGGTTAGTTCTCATCAGCCAGCACTTACAGTCTCAATAGCTCAATAGTAAGAAAAAGACTAAAAAGTTCAATTTACACACAGTTCTGAACAGATTAAAAAACAGAATGTTGTTGAAGAATAATGACTGGTTAGATGGAGAGAGCATAGCTACATGTTTAACTACATGGCTGACTGGCTGCATACTGACAGAACACTGACTAAAAATTCAGCAAAGTGGTTCTCTTCAAAATCTGAGACAGAGAGCAAACAATTGATTGCTGCTGGATTGTCATTCCAGTCCAGAAAAATCCCTCCCAGCCAAACTTCTTAAAGACAGAATCCAAGGTAAAGGTTCCCCTTGACACTTAGTCCAGTCGTGTTCCTAGGGCACGATGCTCATCCCCGTCTCCAAGCCATAGAGCCAGTCTTTGTCCGAAGACAGTTTCCATGGTCACGTGGCCAGCGCAACTAGCCATGGACGCTGTTGCCTTCCCACCGTGGTTGTACCTATTTATCTACTCGCATTTATATGCTTTCGAACTGCTAGGTTGGCAGGAGCTGGGACAAGCGACGGGAGCTCACTCTGTTCACGTGTATTTAATCTTACGACTACTTGGTCTTCTGACCTTGCAGCACAGAGCCTTCTGCGGTTTAAACCGCAACACCACCATGTCCCTCAGCATCTAAAGGTTGTTAATTCCAGCAAATTTGATCTAAAACTGAACAGCACGTGTATTTAATCTTACGACTACTTGGTCTTCTGACCTTGCAGCACAGAGCCTTCTGCGGTTTAAACCGCAACACCACCATGTCCCTCAGCATCTAAAGGTTGTTAATTCCAGCAAATTTGATCTAAAACTGAACAGCAGCGGCCATGCAAATGATATAAACAAAATGACATTTAAGGCCGTGTTCTAATGTGAGATGTCTGTCTCTGAAGTGGTGGGGTCAAGATGTTCCCTTTACTCAAGTCATAGGCCCTGGGGTTTTGGAATTAACAGCTAAAGGATTAACTGACATAACTCTTTACATTAAGAAGTTAGGAGTAAATTGGTGAAAAAAGATATTTGGCTTTTTCTCTGATGGTTCTGATGTAGTTGCATCATACATGATTCATTCATCTTGTCTGAATATGATCATCAATGTGTATTATTTGAACATCATATGAAAGAGGAAGCAACTGTTATCTACTATGGTAACATAAAAATAATCTCTAACAATGATGCATGCGCCAACAAAATATAAATGGGAGCCCTACGCCCTTATATTTGAGTGAGTAAATATAATAGAACCGAAGAGATACAAATCAGCTAGAAGAGACTCCAACACTCAGACCAATGTGACAGCTGCCAGATGAGCCACAATGTAAGGAAAGCTGCAAGGGTGTGTTCACTTCTCCAACAGGTTGTTCCAGATCTTTATGAGAAGAAAGGGCAAGGAAGGGCACATGAGCAGTGACAGGAAGTGTAGGTGAATGCACACCTGTTAATGCGGAGGAGATTTTACATAAGCCACCCACTCTTTGGGATATGTTGAAGTAGGATTCCCATGACTACCAACTATGTGTGTATGGCTTTTCCAAGCAAGGGAGGGATCCCTGGACTCCTCCTTGTGTAAAGTGCTGTATGTACACAATAATGAAAAGCAGTCTAACATCTCTCTAAATTACAAATTAAATCAGATTATTTTCATCTTCCATACCCATCTTTTTCCTTTGACATCATATCTTCTTTTTCTACCATACTTTTTGTCTTGGATTGGCTATTGTTATTTACACTGCCTCTGATGCCTGGAGGAATTTGGTTTTGTTAATGTCTTTTATATGCTACCTTTCTTCCCATAGGGGACTCAAGTCAGCTCACAATTAAGTAAAACTATATAGTAATCATCATTATAATCGCCATAATAAACTGTAGTAAAAACAACTGAACAGCTGATTGTATTAAAACAACCATTAAAAACAAGTTAAAAATATTTTAAAACATAAAAAACCCTTCTAAATTTAATAAATACAGCATTTCTTTTTTTAAAAAAAACCCACTTCATTGCTTAAAAGCCTGCCCCAAAAGGCAGGTTTTTGCTAGACAATGGAAGGACAATAGGGAAGGGGGCCAACTTGGCTGATGAATGGAGTGCTTTTCACAGCCTGGGAGCAGCCACTGAAAAGGCCTTCTTTGTCATCCTCACCAATCAAAGCAGAAGCAAAGTGTACTGCTTATATTTTAAATCAGTCTCTGGGCAGTTTACAATTTTATTTTGCAGGCTAGACATTGCATCTCTCCAAACCGCCCCCCTCCCGCAAGCTGGGTACTCAATTTACTGACCGCTCCAAACCACCCCCCTCCTGCAAGCTGGGTACTCAATTTACCGACCTCAGGATGGAAGGCGGAGTCAATCTCGAGCCTGTCAGGACTGAACTCAGGTTTGAGCAGTCTTGGACTGCTTGCTGTACTGCAGTTTAACCACTGTTCTGCGAGGCTCCAGAGCCCGAGGTGGTAGAACTGAGAAATGTGGTGTCTTAATGTGGTTAATAACATCCAACTGCATCCATATGGTATACCTTTTTGTAGAAGGCAGACTATGACTCAGAAGCAGCTTTTCAAAGGATTAATTGTTTACATTCCAAGAATCCCCAACCAAAATAGCCACTGGCCGTTTCATTCAAAAATGTAATTTTTTCTAGTTTGTGCTCAGAAGCAACATGTAGACGAGGCAACAGAACCTGGGCAGTATGTGAATATATGTCAGCGATGAAATCATTAATGCCAGAACTAGAACTAGTAATTTTGATATCCAGGATTTTGTAGCCTTATTGATTAAATTTGGGTCATGTGAGATTGAAATTCATACAGGGACAAGTCAGAGGCATGAGGAGAATGTCTGGGTTTGAGCACCTCATACTCATACTGCTTCCACATTGACTCCTGGCTGTCATGCATTTCCTTCTGCCTGGTGAGGGGCAGCTGGCAGTGGTATATGGACTCGGTGCACAAAGGTTCACATCCTTCCAGCAGAACATTTTTGTGCCCTCTGAATGTTGGTACCCTGCATTAAAGCCCTAATTCCTCTGCACTGATTATGGCTCTGCTCAATGTCAGAGAGACACTGGGGAAAAGATGGAGATTACAAGCTGCTGGATTTCAAGGTAGATGCTCTTCAAGAACTGTACACCAACCAGGGAGACATCAATTGCATTTATAAACATTACTAGAGATGAGAGGGAAAGGTCAGGTAAGGTGATGTGTGCCTCCTAGGTTTAGAGCTTATAAATTTGGTACCGCAAGCACATCTAAACACGTCTCTGCACAAAAAGTAATCAACATGCTTCATCTAGGTGACCTACATTCTGTACTTACATAGCACAGTTCAAAAAAGCTGAAGGCTATAGCATGATGGAAATAAAGCAAATGTATTCTGCTTCGTTAATCACAAGGTGGAGGGGAAAGGCTATTATAGCACAGAAGCACCACGCCAGTAATTCTGCTTGTTGTGGAAGGTACACAGGATGTACCAGTTAGGAGGCTACACAGACACTTCATTGTCTTTCATAAATAAAAAGAAAAGAACAAAGCCAACAATGTCCCTCCACCCATTTTATTTGGGGGGGCTGTCATAGGGGGATATAGTTAAACCTAATTTACTTGTGCATTTTGGGCCAAATCCAGAGCAGCACCCCTGCTGTTGATTTGGGCCACAAAGCACAGGTAAATTAGTGCTCTCCACTACATGCAAATATAGTACAGTGGTACCTCGCAAGACGATTACCTCGTAAAACGATTAATCCGCAGGATAATTACCGGTAGTTTTTGCGATCGCTGTTGCGCTTCCCAGCAAAACGATTAATCCGCAGGATGATTAGTTTTTGAGATCGCTGTTGCGCTTCCCAAGATGATAGTTTCCTATGGACGATTTTCGCAAGATGATGATTTTTCCATTGGAACGCATTAAATAGATTTCAGTGCATTCCAATGGGGAACCACGTTTCGAAAGACGATGTTTTCGCAAGATAGCTTTTTTCGCGGAACGGATTAACATCGTTTTGCGAGGCACCACTGTATACATTTCTTGTTTAATCTAGCATCTAGTAGCAATAGGGTGACAAACTAAACTGCAGGAGATTTGGGTTAAAATCCCTGCTTCTATTATTTGTTGACTGGTGTCACTGCTTCTCATGGGATACACAGTGAGAAGATGAAGTAGCTGGGTCTCCTGGGGAATCTATGGCTGTTACGACTTCAGTATTCTTTTTTCTAGCTAGGATTGGGAGCCATCAATGATAAGTGGAGAGGAATGACTAACCAGGCAATCTTTGCAGCCAACCGGCTATCATGTCTGCAAAATGCCTTTTGCAAAGATGTTATAAATGTGTTAACAGTTAATAAAAGTCATAAAGTTATAAGATTAATATATATATAATTTTAATCAGTAGCAAAATAATTTCTTTTTCTCTTTAATTAAAATTTACAATGAATTTACAAACATCACCACTTATTCAAAAAGTGAGGTATCAGTATTCTTTAAAAAAATACAATATGTTTTATAATAAAGTGCATATAAAATAAATTTCCTGCCATATATGTAAACTAGGTAACAAGCAGTTAATACTTGTATTACATCTTTATTTTGTTTGAATTATTTTTAAATAGCATTTAAGGCATGTAGCAAATAATTACATGTTATAAAGATCACTGCCAAGAATACATTAAAATAAATCCCAGATCAATAGTGAGCCGAAATCAGTATCTTTTCTGCCTTAGGGTACTGGTGGCATTTGTTATACTCTTATACCTTTGCGTGGGTGGTATGAGGTCCATATATGAGGGAGATGTGACCTGCATGAACAAAAAGCACAACAAAAATATATTCATAGCAGTACAGAAAATATACTGTCAAAGATATGTCAATTCAATCGTGTGTTTGAACCAAAACTGATTCTACATTTTTCAATGGTGGTATGATTTATCTGCTCATTATTTGTTTGTAACACTTATAATCAACCATTGTTCTAATGAGTTTAAAGTAGAGTATACTATTTCCACCTTTCTGCATAATTCTCACAGCAACCCTATGGGTTATGTTAGGCTAAAAGTGTATGACTGGCGCAAGGTCGCTTAATTTCACATTTGAAAAAGGATTTGAACCCACATCTCTTGAGTTCCATCCTACACTAGAAACTATACCATATTTTTACGGAAGGAAAAACCCAGAAACCTACTAAAAAAGATCGTCAGCAGAATCTGAGGGATAATCAACAATGTACAACTGACTATACATGGCTACTCAAAAGCATGTTCCACTGAATTAAATGAGATACTCCATGTAGGTAGTCTGATGATTACAAAGGATTCTACAGTTAAATTAAGTTTTGCTTTAGGGTTAATTACGTAGCTTGTTGGGAATGAAAATGGCCAGCGAATCAGCTCCCTGCAAAATTCTCATCCAGGGTCTGTTGTTTGCTTAACTACTCCTGTAGCCAGTAGGAGCAATTAGGCAGGGTGCACCAGCATAGTGGATTTCTCAACAAAGGCAGGGTTCCTATATTATTCTGGCTTATTTTGGTATCTAAACACAGCTACTGCTTACTTTCCGCCAGACTCCTTATTGCAAGGCATTATAAGCACATGTTGGTTGGATAGCCCAGTGAGTTGGTTATGGAGCCAGAGGTTGGGAGTTCAATTCCTTACCATGTCTCTCATGAAAAGAGCCAGCCTGTGAGATCCTGGGCAAGTTGCACAGTCCCAGAGAACCCCAGAGAACAGTAAACCACTCAAGAGGACCTATACCTAGAAAACCCTGGAGAGGTCAGCCGTCAGAATTGACTTGATGGTTCATAAATATTAAATATTATAAGAGCATAGCATGCTACTGCTGACAGTAGCCAGACACATGCTCTGGAAGACTTCAAGAGAATTTTTGGCCCTAAAATATCTTTGCTGCATGTTTATCACCCAGGAGAAGTACCATATTAAATTGGAAGTGCAAATATATGAGCTTACCAAAGGGGAAATAGTCTGAAAAACACCCGTAGATGCTGGGTTTCTGTTCATTTTTTCTTGAACATCTAAAACAATGTAAAGTAGAACATTTCAACAGTATGATAGAGAAAAAACAAAGTACAACTCACTGATTCTTTGTAAATAGTGTGTGGGTTTATGCGCCTGTTTTTAGAAAACACCTATATGGGAACCTTCTTGTTTGAAGACAATATGAATAGCCTAGTGAAAGCCATTTGCTGGTAAAGAGTGCTGTCTCCTTGCTTGCTTGCTTGCGGGTTTCCAAGAAGCATCTGTCTGACCACTGTTGGAAACAGGATGCTGGGTCCAGCTGCCATTTCTAGCATGAAGCCTTTTCCATTTGCTTAACCATTAAAGGAATATATATTCTTCTGGCCACTCTGTCTGTAAGCTTGTGGTGCTTTTGGACCCATGGCTTAGAACACTGCAGTCACAAACTTTTCTAACTGGTGGATAGCCCTTTCTTTCATTTCTACATCTGACCATGGCTTCATTCATTTTTCCCCCCTCACTACGTATATTAGAATATACACTGGAAGAAGAGTGTCCACAAGTGTAGACCAGCAGAGGGTCCTCATTTGGCCTCTCAGAAGTCCATGTCTAGGCTTAACTTCCACGCATGGAGGCAGCACTGGGAGAGAAAATGTGGTTTAATCTTGTTATCAGAGACAGCAGTGGAGATTTCCAGGTCACATCTTCCATTTGGATAAAGCTCTCCATGCAGCATCCACATACTTTTGTGTCCTGCATGCTTGGAGCTTCACCAAATGCCATCGGTGTCCTTTTTCTTTGGGCTGATGGGATCGTGGAACTCTCAAACTCCTTCTGCACAAAGAAAGGAAATACAGGCACTGGGGAGGGGCTTGGTGGTCTCATAGAAGAAAGCTGTGGGAGTGACTCCCATTGACATAATTCAAGAATTAGATCAAAGGAAAACTACAAAGAATCATGAATCTTGATTATCCCCTCTTGATATGCCATCAATATCCCTTACATAGTCTCAGATCTGCTAATACTGCCTTATTTGTACATATGACTAGCAAGTCAGGGTTGCCGTCCTAATCCATTAGAGAGATGGCAGATAAAAACATTGTTTATATAGTATCTGTTACTGGACAGCTTCTCTAGTTAGGAGATCCAAGTTTGAATGCTCCCAGCTTTGTACAAACTTAGCTTTTGAAAACAAAGACACACCAGGTTGCTTTAAAGAAGAGTGTAACAGTTAAAATTTGCCTTGCTATGTGAAACTGGCATGAGTGCCATACAGTTGTAAATAAGGCCTTAATTAAATGAAATTATTTGATCACATTCATATCATGTGTACAATGCACAAAACACCCCCAGAAATGTAGTTGCACTAAGGTGTATCTTTTAAATTAGCTAAATAAAATATTTCAAATGGTAAGTCCACTTGCTTAAAGAATGACCATGACAAAACTGTGATTGTATAGTATAAAGGAAAATATAAAGGGACATAACATCACAATAGTATAATGCTTTTCAAGAAAAACAAGGTCCCAACATTACGCATCAAATTTAGGATCTGAGGTCACTACATGGCATATATTTTTAAAAGCAGGAAGAAACAAAAACTTTTTTTGCTTGTGTTATTTCTTCTTTAGGTTACCTGCCAAATTGATGAGTACAGTAATACAGTGCAAAACACAACTGACTGGATACTTACCATGCAACCTTTGATTAATACGGTCAAGTGACTGAAGAACTTTGTGTTCTTCAAATGACAGTACGCTCATTCCTTGTTGCAGAGGTCTGTTTAGCACCTTTGTCTGATTGTATGGGTGGGCTGTGTCCAAACCAGTCAAGATTTCACTTTCTGTAGCTGACAAGTTCACCAGATTTTCTGCTAGCAGAAACTGTTTCATGCTGTCTGAAACTAATAAAAGGAATGCATACTGAAGGATAGCTTCTAAGCAAAACAGGTTTGAAACATCAGGATTAGCTACAATTTGTTTCAAAGTTTACCAGCACAGTTCATATTGAGTCTCTATGTATCTTTCAGATCTAACTGTTTATCCATATACTATATACTTAGTACTACTCTTGTCAGCCCAGGACATCATTAACTACAATGCTGGAACTAGTATAGCTTTCTCTGAAGACAGCTAAGAGACACACAGAAAGCACACAGGACAGAAATAAGTCTGTCTCTGTGTTGAAATCATAAAGTGAATCCTGCAGATTCCCTTGTTCACCTTGATATAAAGCTGGTCCCCTTTTATAATGTGTTTCTATAAGAAGCCAAAATGTGAGCAAAGCAGTGGCTGGTTGAGTGTGTATACAACAGTGGCCTATCTTCACTCTAATGTAATGCTCATTTTGAAAACAACGACATAAATATACCAGATATTCTTTTGTCACAAACAGAACACTGTGCTATCCTTGTTGTCCACAAATCCCAGACCACATCCTCTGTCCTGTGTCATCTTCCCTTGCTGCTCACTGTGACTGTAACATTTTTCTTCCAGTTACCTGTCCTGTTTTCTCTGCTGGTGTTTTTAAACGCCAAATTAAAAACTTCCACTTCACTCCTTCTCCAAGAAATCCTGCGCTTTTACCATTCTGTATGCTCTGATTCCATGGAAGCTGTTCTCTGCCTAGACCACTGTATTTTGCCAGTAGTGGTCTGGATGAGGGCTAACAAATTGAAATTTAATCCAGACAAGACAGAGTGCTCCTCGTCGGTCACGAGGCAAATAGGGTTTCAGCTTGTACTGGATGGGGTTACATTCCTTCTGAAAAGTCAGATTCACAGCTTGGGTGTATTCCTGGACTCAAGTCTGAGCATGGATGCACAGGTCTCAGCAGTGGCCGGAAGTGCATTTACAGAGTTAGAACTGCTGCACCAGCTGTGCCTGTTCCTTGAGAAGTCTGATCTGGCCACATTGACACATGCCTTAGTTACATCTTGCTTGCATTACTGCAACACACTTGACGTGGAGCTGCCTTTTGAAGAGTGTTTGGAAACATCGACTGGTTCAAAATGCTGCAGCAAGATTGCTGACTGCTGCTGGTTTACAGGGATATATGTAACTGCCTTATTATAACAGTTTCACTGCCTGCCTGTTTTGGAGCCCCATTCAAAGTGCTGGTTATTACTTATAAAATCCTCTACAATTTGAGTCCAGACCATTTGAAAGACTGTCTCTTCCCATATGAGCCTTCTTGGCTTTTAAGATCCGAGGAGGCCCTTCTCAGTGATTGCTCCCAAGCTTTCTTTGGAATGAGCTGCCACCAGAAGCTAGGTTGCTCCCCACCACCACCTTGTCCTGTTGTCAGGCAGAGAACTTCCTTTTCAGGCAGGCTTTTAAGCAATAAGTGGGGGGGGGGAGTGTCACAAGAATGCTTTATTTATTAAATTGAGAGATTTTAAAATGTTTTAAAACTTTGTTTTTAATCATTGCTTTTAATATTGACATATGTTTAACTGTTCTTAACGTTTTCTTTGGTGTTTTTAAATTGTTGATCATTGTATAGTTTTAATTGTTGTGAGCCATCTAGGATCCTCTATATGGAGAAAGGTGGCATATAAACAAACAAACAAACAAACAAACAAACAAACAAACAAACAAACACTACTCCCTAAACTCTTGTGAGAATAACACATAAACAAAAGCAAGGTAGCTACTCACAGCCGCAATGAGATATACTACATTACCTTCTTCAGAACTCCCAATGCCACCCACTTGCTCGTATGCACACTGAGACTGTGCACGTTTCACAGCTTGTGCCATACTCTATATAAGAAAAGAATTTTATCATCAAAATATTTGAAATATGTAGTTAAGTCACTGAATGATTATTTAAAATAACCCAGGCATTTCATGGCTCAGGAATGCTAACATTATTCTGAAATGTGAAGTAAATAGTGAAAGAAGTTTTGATAAAGCAGCTAAAAAAAGAGAAGAAAATATTTATACTGTATGCTGCTGTACTGTGGAGGACAACAGCCTGTGATGATGGAAGGACACATCAAACTATATCAGTAAAGCTATGCAGTGTTTATTAATTATAATCAAACATTCCTTGTAATGTTGACTAAAAGTGATTACAAAGTTTCTTGCACACTTGTGCAGAATGAACACAGAAATATTCACATGTTAAAATTTAACTATTATTGTGAGGATTCATTGTTACTTCTTACACATTTAGAAAGTTCCCACGGGGGGGGGGGGGGGATTTCCAGTTACAGGGGTGCCTTGCTTGACAAGGATAATCCATTCCAGCAAAATCGCTGTAGAATGAAATCGTCATCAAGCGAAAGTAAAAAAAAAAAAAAACATTGATATGCATTGCAATGGGCGAAATACCTCAGCCTCCAGCAAAGATCCTCCATAAGGCGGCCATTTTCTGGTGCCTGTATAGTGAGGAATCCATCCTAAAACACAGCGGGGAGCCATTTTGAAAACCCGACGATCAGCTGTTTTAATCATCATTAAGCAAAAAATTGATTCCAGAAGCAGGGAACTGATTGTCGTTAAACAAAAAAAACCATACAAACATGGTTTTGCCTCATCATTAAGACATTTCCTCGTCTAACGAGGTAATCGTTAAGCGGGGCACCACTGTATTTGTTATTTTTCTCAAAAAACATTTCTAAATGGAAGTTGACAGCTTTTTGTGTAACCCACATTCAGCTTCTAGGTGTAACAGTGTCCATCACTGTAGGGTGATCTTAGTCTGTACAGTCATGCATACCCTCATGCTTTCTAAGGATCAAATTTTGAATATCCATGATGTGCCAAATCAGAGCCAGGGCAGCAAGAAGTCCAGAAACAGCTATATAATCCGTCTTCCATACTGAATCTAACGTCAACGTTTTCTTCAGTGCACTGTTCATGTTATTTCCACGGCATAACATGGAAACCACTTTCTGAAATAGTTATTAATCAGATATACCTCTCCAACAGCATTAGGCTTCTGTCCTGCAGATGCTGCCATTTGTCTTCTCTGTTCTAAGAGGGCCTTTCGTTTATTTGCATTATTTTCAATAATCTGTTTTCGTCTTGCAAAAGCAACAGAAGCTGCAAGTAATAAAACAGCCGTGTAAAAATTTCAGATCTGGTTAGCTTTTTAAAAAAAAATATTTTAATCACTGATTTACTTCCCCTCCCTAGTATAAATTTTGAAAATATGGTATACACTATTTTTTTTTTAAAAAAAAAACCTAATCTAAATACAGTAGTGCCCCACGTAGCGACGATAATCCGTTCCAGAAAAATCGTTGCTATGTGGAATTGTCGCTATACGAAACAAAAAAACCCATAGGAATGCATTAAAACACATTTAATGTGTTCCTATGGGCAAAAAACTCACTGTTCAGCGAAAGTCCTCCATACGGCTGCCATTTTCGCTGCCTGGTAAGCGTGGAAAGGGCACGAAAACACAGCGGGTGGCCATTTTTTTTAACCTAGCGGCCATTTTGGAACCACCAATCAGCTGTTAGAGAAAACATTGCTATGCGATCACTTTTGCGATCGCAAAATCTTCGCTATGCGGATTCGTCGTTAAACGGGGCGCCCGTTATGCGGGGCACCACTGTATATACATTTGCACTTAACATCAGGGTCTGCAAGAACTGAGAAAGAAACAGAATGTACAGATAGTTTATCTGTTTAACAACTTCATCTTTTAATGAGATAAGTAATACTGAACAGACTAGACAGGAAATTTAGCTGTATGGTACTTATATTCTTTGCCTTGTAACACACATTTTGCCATATGGGATTGGAAAAACTGTTTTTCTCATCTAAACAGGAACTGTTTTCTTGATCTAAATGGGATCTGTTTTTCTGATGCTATTTAGATCAGGAAAACAGTGCAAGGAAAAGGATTTAAACAACTTGCCAACGCCATAGACTCAATCCAGTTCACACTCACAGGTGCACCTAAATTCTATTAAAAACACAGGTTATCCAATCACCCTTTCCCCACTATCTAATCTAATTTGGCATCATTATTTATAATAACAGATTTGTCCAACATCCGGAGTTATAGGAGGCTGCCTTACACCGAGTTAGATCACTGGACCATCAAGTTCAGCAGCACGGCTGATGCTGGCAGACAGCACTTCTACAGTGTTTCAAGCAGAATTCCTCCCTAGTCCCACATGAAGCTCCGCAGGACTGAACCTGCTTTACTACCAGAGCCCTTTCTGAACTCTGCTATATGGGGGTCTTTCGACAGGAAATGTTGAGGATTGAAACTGGGACTTTCTATATGCAAAATGTGTGCTCTGTCATTAAACTTTGGGCCAGTGTAAATGGTAACTGCGCTGATATTAGCATAACTGTTAATTGCTAGGGATGCATAGCTTTAACTGCTAGATTAATCAGTCAGAATTTTAGTTGATCCATAGAATCAGCTCCAACTAGATGGGCACTTACCGTAGTTCAGTGCTTTGTTGTGATTCGGTGGATTGGGCCCACAGGAGTTGCACGGGTGACTCGGATTCCACGCCCCGCCTCTTCCAGCAGATGCCCACTCACAGGAGCAGGTGGGGCAGGGAAACCTGTAGCACATAGGAAAAGGTGGGGTGTGGAATCTGGGGGACCCATGCAACACCTGTGGGTCTAATCCATTGAACTGTGCTGAAGAGCTGAACTGCAGTAAGTGCCCATCTCTAATTCCAACCGCTAAGAACATTTTTATAGGAGTGGCGGTAAAGTTAAGGGCATGTTTGCTAATTTTTGTCATTTTAATTCTGTTACAAACACTGTAAAATTATAGCTTGAAGCAATGCATGGAAAAGGACCTCCTTTTCACATGGGCAGTTTTTAAGTAATAAGAAGAAAGAAGGAGCTATTACAGAATACATATACAGTACCAACCTATTCTAATTCATGGACTTCTAGTACTGTACTATTTTCGGAAGGGGAAAAAAAGAACCTTACTGCTTGGCTGTGAAGAAAAAGCTGCATTCGCCCTGACACCTGATTTAATATTGCCAATTAGATTTCCACCGTCAATAGTGATGTGAGCCACGTTAGGTCTTGTGGGTTGCAAGTCTCTATTATTTGTGTTATTACACACAGCAGCATTATGCTGTGAATCCCCTGAAAGAAAGAAAACAATCCAGAAGCAAGATTTAAAAATTATATTCTGAAGAGCACTAACACCATCCCACATTATAACTGAATATTAAAAAATTACTCTTTAAACCAAGCCTCTTAATTCTGTATGTTTTTTTGTAAGTGTATGTATTAATTCTGGGTAGGTCCTTCAGCCCCAAGAAGAAAATCTATGGAGTAAAACTACAGCCCAACCCAATGCACTAGCTGCTGGGATAAGAACAACCTTGCATGCAATTAATACTGAGTATTAGTGGGAGGGATCTTTCACAAGCTAAAGTAACTGTCCCTTTTTACCACTAATTAATTTGTAGCGTTCTTTTCCCCGCCTTTGGCTTTTGATCCAAACCCTCATGCTTCAAGAGCCTTGTGGTGCAGTGGTTAAACTGCTGCACTGCAGCCAAAACTGTGCTCACGACCCGGGGTTCAATCCCAGGTCGCGGCTCAAGGTTGACTCATCCTTCTATCCTTTCGAGGTTGGTAAAATGAGTACCCAGATCGCTGGGGGGGGGGCAATGTGTAGCCTGCATAATTAACTTGTAAACCGCCCAGAGAGTGCTTGAAGCACTAAATGGCAGGATATATAAGCAGAAGGCTTTGCTTTGTTTGCTTGCTTCCTCTCATCCTCTTTCTGTTTTTCTGTTTGTATTGCTCTTCCTCTGACCCTTTTTGTTTGTTTGCTTCCGCTCATCCTCTTTCTGTTTTTTTTGTTTGTATTGCTCTTCCTCTGACCCTTTTTTAGTCATGGAGTCATTGCTCCTTTGTGTGGAGACTACAACCTTCCTTTTATTGTTTTGTTTGTAGCTACTGAGTCCAACTGTAAATAAAGATACCTTTTCCTTTTCTACTTAAAATGCTTCCAGGGTGATTTTTAACATAGAAAATGCTAGTTACTGTGAAGGGGGATGACACTAAGACTTCAGCTATTCTCTTATGCCTTTTCTCTGCAGCTGTTGTCTGTATCTGATATTCTGATAATGAACAATAACAACAAAAATGACCAATAATCCACAATACTAGTAAAGGATGAAAACAAATGCATGTATGAATGTCCAGTTCATTCATTTGAGGCTCCCTTCAGCATAGCAGTGATGAAGTGCTATAAGAGTAAGACTAAGTACTCAGTCACTTTGCAGCAGAAGTTTTCATTGTTTGATAGCAATTTCATACTCTGGCTAAATGCAAATATGATAATATTTACAATAAACCAAAGCCTGGATGAAAATCTTAATGTGGTGAGGGAATTTAAGAGAGCTATGCTGTCAGGAGGCTAGACTCCATTACTAGTCTAGACTCCTAGCACGGTCTTGTAAGGTGGAATCGCCAAAGCTGAGATACCAGACTAAGAAACATTCACCTCTTCAAGACCAACACTTCCATCAGTAGAAGAGAATGTATAGTTCCAATGGGGATGGGGATGGAAAAAATTCTGGTGGCCAGCTACAGGGTTGCATCAATAGCAGAGAGCCATACGTTCAAAATCATTAAGCATAATGAGACATCAAGGTCAGAAGGCACTCATTCAGCTATTCAGAAGAGCAAAGCACAAGTACAGACATCACTGTTGCTAATGAAGCTACTGGATTACAGCCAAAAATATGTGACGTGACCAACAAGCACAGAGGTGAAAGGGAACTCAAATGCTGCACAACACATATAACTAGAACATGGAACATGAGAAGTATGAACTGGAAACTGTAAGGCAAAAAATGGTGCTTAGTGTGTACAAACTAAAGTGGACTAGAATGGGACATGTCAGTCAGACAATTAGTATTTTACTGTGGCAAAGAAAAAATCAGAAGACATTGTGTTTCTCTAAGACATAGGTTATAATGTAACACATCTGATTGAATAATTTCGACCATCTGTTTCTACCAGTAGTGGGATTCCCCAGCTTTTACAATTCTGTTGGTGATAAAGTATGGTGGCCCTGAGGTACTAAGTGGAGCCAAGCAACTGCTCATCTTCTAGGCTGTAATAAAATTTCATGACACCACTGGGGAAGCATACCTGTTTGTAACAATGTCTTGTGGCATCTGAAAAACTAACAAGCTTTAATCTACAGAAGCTTCTATGGACTGTATGGCCTGTAACCCTACTTGTCAGTGCATCAAATCAAGTGGTCTGCCAAAATTCATGGTCTGTTTAAAAAAACCTATTAGGTGCTACAAAACTCTTTGTTATCAGAGCTGGAAAAAAATCTTACAAATCGTTTTCATTTTTTTAAAGATTAATCTTACCAGCAGCACCATCCTTTTGAGCCAGTGCATGATGCACTCCTTGCCACAAAACTGTGATTTCTTCATCAGTTGGTGTGCGATTTGAACATAATCCATTTCCTGAGTGCACAGAGTTTCTTTTCGGAAAGCTGTTGCAGCGGGCAATTGAGTGAGTAGTATTTCCAGTGCTCTTTGCCTTTGTCAAGGGTGCATAGGTAAATACACTATAGGAAGGCTGCATTGTAGGTGTGTGAGAAGGTCCTTCACTTGATGGTGAAGGACCTTCTTCAGTGTCTCTACCCAAATCTTGCCCTTCTGACAGGTGTCTTCCATTTTCAGTATCTGCATGAGGTTTGCAAAGAGTCCGATATGTACTGCCTACAGAATTTTCATCTGGCCTTTTACTAAGTAAAGGTTTCCATGGAGGGTGTGGCACTATTAACTTACCCTGGGTCTTTATGACTTTGGTGGCTTCATTAGCTGATTGTGGACGGATAATGGTACCCTTCCGGTTTTTAGTTATTGAAGCTGAAGGTTGGGCTTTGGCAGATTTTGGTCTTTTAACAATTTTCATTCTACCTTTGCGTGGATTGGTTTTTGGATTTTTGGGGTCACCATTATAAAGAATAGGTATAATTTCTTCAGTTCTTGGTGCCATCCAGGCCTCTTTAGCAACATGATATCCTGGGGACAAAAATGCATTCTGCATGACATTATCTCTTTCAGCACCTCCAACAGTAGAAAGTTTGGCAGATTTCTCAGAATTCTCTTCAGGATTTTCCAGGAAAGCAGAATTGAGTGTATAAGAGGAAGAGTTCGTAAGATTAATTCCAGAAGTGGTGCCGGTAATTTGAAAGCTAGGCGACTGGAGCTGTGACTCAGTTATTTCAGTGACACTTTGTTCAGAACATTTTTCCTCATCGTTAGCATCTTCTGCTTGGTCAATTTCATCAAACCACCTAAGCTTTTTACCATTCTTTTGAATATCTGCATCCTTCCCTTTTATTTTTGCCAATTCAACACTATCTCTAGCAGCAGACACAGGCTGAGGACCAAATCTGATCCCTCTGTTTACAACTACTGCTTTGAAACAGCCAGCTTCATATTTAGATCCTTTTTTCAAAATGCTTTTTGGCAGCTTCACTACCTTTCTCTCGCTGGGGTCATCATTCCTTTGTTGGTCAAATTCAGAGAAACTGGATGTGAGGCCTCCATGAGGCACAGAGAAAATAATTTCCTTCACTTTTTCCTCTCTGTTGTCTTTCTGTTGATTGATACTGCCTTTATGTGTCTCTTCAAACAAGGATGCTTCAATATTAACATGGTCAACATATTTTTCATCTTTATCATCTGCCACATAGTCTGTATCTTCAGTACACCTTGCTGCATGGGCCTCCTTCCCCTTCGGCAGACAACTCAGCAAGAAGCTGTTACTATAATGGGCAGTGGTACTCCGGTCTATGGTAAGAAAGCCTGCAGAGGAAGAGGTTGCTACATGATGACTAGGGGCTTGTGCTGGTGAGAGTGTGTTGTCCTGCAGCTCAGAATTCACCAACTGGCTTGCAACAAGTGGAGAAGGATTGGGAATAGTCCAAGCTTTGTTTAATTTGAGAACTGCTGTGTCAGTAGCTGGAGGGCTTTTTGAGCTAACTGTTCCTGAAGATGGATGTTTCAACAGAAAGCTTTTTCCTTCTCTTGTATTTTTTGCAAAAGTTAGATTACCATCAGAAGCGCATCTCTCAGTCTCTGTTTGTTCAGATGTGCTTAGAACAGATGATTTCCAGCCAGGACTGTGTGTGTCTTCATCAGAAGGCACAACATTGTATTTAATCAAAATATCACGGAAAGGAGAAGTTGTTGGGACAGCTGAAGTATTTAAATTTTTGAGCCAATTATTTACATGCTGATTTTTAGAAAAAGTTATGTCAGCCTCATCAGCTCTCCTCTGTTGTTCCTGTGAGTTGTGGCCTGAAGAGTCCAACTGTGCAGATAACAATGATGTTTCACTGGGTGTCACACAACTTCCATTTGGTTCTCCAGCCTCAAGACTGTCCACACTGCAAACGCTTTCTGAGCAGCGTGCTTCATTTCCTTCTTGATGCAGATCCTGAAACCAAAAAGCAAGCAAGTCGTGTGTATCAATATTTCTAGTGGTCTGTATGTTTGCATCCTCATAAATCATCAAGAAGAGAACTGTTTTTAATATTTTTAAAAAACAGTACCTGATGGCACCAGAGAAGCCAGAGCGCCCTCTAGTAGCAATTCTATAATGTAAACGGAACAGAAATTGTTTACAAAATTCTTTTGCAGTTCCACCAGCAGATCCCATTAAATGCTGATCCTAATTTCCAAGGAAATCTATATGTAAATAGACTATGATGCCTTTTGCTTGATAGATGCAGCTTTGTCTGTGCAGAGTCTTTTTCACCAGAATAATTATAAGACCTTTAAAAACATTGATTCTGTGAAATAATTATCTGCCATAAAGCTACCAACCAACCACTTTAATTCCTTCTGATGGGCTATTCAGAAAGTAACATGGATCTGCATCATTGCGACAGGAAGTGCATTGACACAGCCACGTCATTGCACTGGATACTTTGGAAAGCAGAGGTAGGGATGCTTATTTAACTTCTTCCTTACGTATTTTATACAAGTACAAACTGACAAATGACTTTGAGCTTTTCAAGAGCAGACACTGTTAAAAGGACAAGCTTAAATGCACAATAATTCTCCATCTACATAGAAAAATACTGAAGGTTAAAAGTGAGAAGAAAAGGAGATATATTCCACTTTCGGTACTTAATAGATACTGGCAAACCATGACATTTTCTTTTCAGTCTATTTGAATAGCATTCATCTCAGTCCTGCGAATGTTAACCAATATTCAAATTAAGAACTCAATTCCATTTAAGTCTAATACACACACACACACACACACACACACACACACACACACACACACACACACACACACACACGCACACACACACCTCTCTCTCTCTATGTGCTTTCAAACAGAA